GGTTAGATATAGCTGTGTGTCAGTCAACTATGGTCATGCGTCCTCTGAGCCTTGTGTTGAAGCAGGGTATGGTGGGGAAGGGAAAGGGTGCTCTCCCTGCACCCTTATTTCGGTCAGTCTGTATCCACTTCCTCCACGTGTGTGCATAATGCAAAAGCAACTGCTAATGAAAGAGAATGAGCTGAGAGGAGCTCCAGAGCCTGTGCACTGGAGGTGTGGAGGAAGCGGTGTGTGCCAAGCAGCAATTTTGTTTCCCCTGTTACTCAGTGGGTACCCTGATCTCGCATAATGCTCTTCGCTAAACACAGTATCACTGGATGTAAGTGGGGACCTCTACAGCACGCAGCCAAGCTAAAGCCAGCCAGAAAAGAAACCAGAGTAAGACCGGCTGCCAAGGGAAGTGCTAAACATGGGTCCAGTTTTCAAACTTGGATAGCAGCTGAGTCCATATTTAAACACCTAATTAGCCACTGCAGGCTCCAGTTTCAGATTTGGCTTCTCATTATGTTTTACAAATACATTGCCCCAGCATGCTAGGGAGACTGCTGCTGGAGACAGCACCAGGGAGATCAGTGGTAAAATCAGCTTCTGGTGAAAAAGAAAAAAAATAAATCAGCAAAGCACAAAGCACTCACTCCAGAACTGAATATTTACTTATTTTGTTTTGGCAAAAATCCAAAACAATCCCTTTCTCTTCTCCCTAATTTTTGTAATGGCAATTCAAACAATTCAGTCAATGTTGCAAAGAATCTTAAGCCAAAAATAAGGATTTCTGCTAAAAATTATTTCAACAGGAAATGCAGAACCTGACTTATCCTGATCCTTTCTTTATTCATAAGTGTAGGATCAATAAAACATTTTCAGAAGAAGGAGAAGGTCTTGTATATTGCTGCTCTCTTGGCTGGATTTCAAAGCAGCTAATGAATTTCTGTTTGCCTTAACTGCTCCTGTAGTTTCCACTTAGTGAGTTGTGCATTATCTCATTTTATCAGCACCACCACAGCAAAATGCTATGGAAGGGCGCTCCCCAGGAGAGACTGTTTTCCATGCTAGAAATGGTGGTCCATAGAGAGCCCCACTGAAATGAGTGGGTGAGCATGGACTTCTCCAAACTACCGATGCCAGGCAAACCATTCCTTCCCACTGGACTTCTTCCCACCAAGTCTTTGCTCCACTTCTCCTAGCTGCTGACCATGCACAGGCTTGCCATACCACACCACGTGCTGCCTGATATAGCTCAATCCTGTTGGACAGCATTTATTAGGATGGATCCCTGGGCAGTCAAACGCCAGTACCTCCTAGCTGTCTGACTGGACAGCGTGTGTGTGTATGTACCAGCGGGAGCTGGGAGCTAGCAGTCTTTTGCCTGGATGGCCATCTAGTTAGGAGGCAGTTTCTCTGCTTGAGAGTCTGCCTGCCTTGCTGTGAAGCATAGATGTTCTGTGTACTCAAGGGTCGAAGCATCACAGGCACTATGTATGCACTGGTACGCCAGCACAGTTGTGTGTTGTGTAAGTTGTAAGTTATGTTCTGCTCTGTGCTCTCGTGTGCACATTCATTTCAGAAAGCTTTTAGAGCCTTCAGAACATGAAAGCAATGTGGAAATGCGTAATGTCAATATTATTTTATTTAGTATACAATTATACTTTTTCATTCAGTGCAGAAAATGTACATACAGAACATAAAGTGCCAAGAAAGGCTAGATTTAGATGAACGGGCTTTAAAGCTAGATAATTCCATGTGTAAAAGGAATACATTTTATGATTTTAAACTGAAAGAGGATAGGCTTAGATGAGATATTAGAAAAAAAATCTTTTCTGTGAGGGTGGTGAGACACTGGCACAGGTTGCCCAGAGAAGCTGTGGCTGCCCCATCCCTGGCAGTGTTCAAGGCCAGGTAGGACAGGAGGGAGCTTTGAGCAACCTGCTCTAGTGGAAGGTGTCTCTGCCCATGGCAGGGAGGTTGGATCTTTAAGGTCCCTTCCAACCAAAACCATTCTGTGATTCTACATGTATATGCATGAGAGATGCAATCCTGGTAAAGGTGCAGGAGTCTACGTGCTCCTATTTCATGCATAAATTCAAGACTGGATGTAATGAAATCAAGTAACCACTGTTGATTTTTTTTTCCCCCCCAAATATGGCATTTGAACAACATGACTCTAACAAAAAGGGGTGTCGCAAACAAAACAGTAACAGTTGTTCAGCAAAAATCCTTGTCAGTTTTGTGTTGCAGGTTATTCCTCTGTCTTATATAGTCCATTGATTTCAGATTCCTGGAAAGCAAAAAGCACACACAGAGAAAATGGGAAGATAGCAGGTGATCATTGCAGGGGTTCTGCCAAAAGTGCCTGTTCTGTGTATCCAATTTTATATCCTTTATATCTATAGTATCTTATTGAAGTCTGATTCCCCACTGCTTTGCAAATCATTTGCATCTCTGCACTGTGATATAAAAGGCTTCCTCATTGATTGGATAGCTTTTTATATCTTCTCGGCACTCGTGTTTCTCTGACATAGATATCTATGCAAAGTACAAGGCTTTTGAGGATCCAGCCCTTGCAGTTCATGCTTCATTGCCACAAGGTAAGTCAAAACAGCACTCACACAGAATGTGGGAATGGGAAATCATGGGGAGCGTTCACCATCCTCCTGCCTGGCACCTGAAGGTTACTGAAGGCCAGACTAGACCCAGGCAGAACAAGTCAGAGTAGTCAGTCCCCAGCTCTGCTTCCCTGCGAGCTGCTTGCCAGGCAAGATCACTCTAATTCAATTCAGGAAGCTTGTCCTGTGCCCCAGCTTCCGTGTTTCACTGGTGAGGGAATGGTGGCACTGATGGAGAAGTGCCAGGGTTGGCTGCCAGCTGGCTGCCGGAGGCGGCTTCAGATGAGTGCTTCTTCCCATGGGTGGCGTGAGCTCTGCCCCACACTGCTGTGCAAGGGAAGCTTGTAGCGGCTGAGGATCTGGTCCTTCAAGTTAAAAGGGTTGAAATATGCATGAAGCATAAGGTGACATTTTGAGTGTCTCAGATCAGAGCACGGACGTTACTGAATTTAAAATGTAACTGCAATTTCCTGACTAATGCCAAACCATTTTTATATTCATGCAGTGATTGTTCTTTATTCTTAAAATAGCCCATTTTACCCCGAGGCATAGGTGATATCTTTATGATGATGGAACTACGTTATTCAGCATTATTACAGCTCAGGCTGTTGGTTGGTGCAAGGGCTGTTCACGGTCAGATGTCCTTTTTTATTCTCTCTCAATTCATATAATGCTTATGTAGCCTGTTTGTTATTTGTTTGCTTGAACAAGAATACAGCAAGTGAAAAAAAGAAGACCAAAAAAGAGATGCACTGGAGATTCAGTGGTGGTGTCTTTTTTTTTCCTGTACCTGAGCTGTACGATTTACCATTATGTCTCCAAGTTTCTGAGCCCATTCAGCCAACATGAACAGTTAAATTGCTTCAGTAGCCCTATACCTCTGCAAAGAGACGGCTTGTTTGCTATCATCCAGGGCTTTCTGTGGTGAAGCGTACAGGGTATTATAAATAAAGTATTCAATGAGGATGAGATAACAAAAAGAGCTCTGAGACATACTTGCTATTCATTCAAAATAAAAACCTTGCACTTAGCAGCTACCACCGAAGTTGAAGACAAGCTTTTCAGCAGAGTAGGTGCGTTCCCAGCCGAGGCATTTGCTGCACTAAGGGCGGAGGTGTAGAGGCTGGAGCTGCGGCTGTCACAGAGGCAGGACAACAACTAGGGGGAATGAGAGAGCTGGGGAAGAGAGAGCTGCTCCTGCGTGGGTGCCCCTCTATCTTTCTCCACAAGCAATAGCTGCTGACCCAGGGACCCCAACCCCTGGCTCCACATCATCATCAGCAGCAAGCAATGCTGCTTCCCCAGGAGCTGGCAGAGTCAAAGGGGATGGGGACCAGAGCTCTTTTGCTGTCCCCCAGAACCTGTTGCTTTAGGCTCCCCTCTGCTTTGCTTATGAGCTATCTGTAGTGCCAGGAATTACCTTTAGTTCTGGTAAGCACAAAAAAGGTTAGATGAGAGGATATAGTAATTCCAAGAGTGAATTGTCCCGGCATAGGAATTCGTGGAAGTGATGCTGATGCCCCAGCCGGGAGGTTTTGCTAATTTGCCTGGAACTAGCCTGCTTATTTTTTAAAAAAAATACTGCTGCCTGCATGCAGTGAAACCCAACTAATCAGCAGCTCCTTGGAAGTCTGACTTGAAAGAAAGGCAGATTCAGCATCTAGATGGGAGAGGCGCACAGGAGTCTCAACAGGTTATGTTTTCTGTAATTCCCAGTATTTGTGAGCCTTCGTTGCATCTTCTTTTTGGCAGAGACCCAGCCAGCTGCCTTTGCTCTAAAGGCTATACATGACATAACTCTGGTTACACTTACAGCCACTCTCCTTCCCCCATGGTTTTATCTATCTCTTTAGCTGTGTGTAATCTGGTGTGTCACTGGGGTAGGTACAATGAGTACCTTACTCATCTGTACTGTGCCCAACACAGGAGCCTTCATCAGAAACTAGTAAGTCCTGCTGCAGTACAAATAATAAATAACCAAGAGTAGTGTGATCAGACACAGATTTACTGGGTGGGAACAGGGTATGTATGTGTGGGAAGAGAGCTATGAGGAAGGGGAGAGTAGTTTGAGGGCCTCTAGGTGATGATGTCCTGGAGACTGGTGCCTCAGCATTTCTAGCTTAAATAGTTTGACATAGAGATTCTGGCAGGTACTGTGTAATTTTATTTTAATTTTTCTCCCTGCCATAAATAAGACTTGGTGTGTGACAGAATAATCATCAGAACTCCAGCAAACAACACACCTGCCAGTGATAAGCTGCTGCTTCTGAGGACTCGATGTATAGCTGTTTGTTTGCTGGATATTGCAAAATGCAAGACATTTGGTGTTTGTGCAATTCTTTTTTCCTTCCGATTATTTTTATGTTCACCTCCCTCTCTCTTTCTCTCCTGTAACAGATGTTCGTATTCACCCCATGGAGCCTATGCCCAAAGCAAACTTGCCCTTGTGTTATTTACCTATCAACTACAGCATCTTCTGACTGCAAATGGAAGCCATGTGACTGCTAACGTAGTAGACCCTGGAGTCGTGAATACTGAGCTCTATAAGCATGTCTTTTGGGTTGTAAAAGTGGCTAAATGGATGACAGCCTGGCTGTTCTTCAAGGTATGCAGTTTTTAAAATCATTTTGTTGCCATGCCCCTGCACTGTGGGAGCTGTAGTCAGCGGAAGGAGTTTCAGAGTTTATAATAATGTATGGAATTTATTGTGTTTGTCTGTCCTGATGAGAAGGACAAAACTGACAAAGACAGGCCTTCCCCAGAACAAACACTCTCACAGTAAGGGAAGGGAATGCATTCTGTACCCATGCTGCGCTGATTATCTCCACTCTGATCTATTGGTGTGCCTTCATGTGTGCATGGGGGGCGGAACATCATCCTAACGCAGAGCCAGACTATGCAGCATGTTCCTTTGAAACGTCTTGTATGTCCTCCTAATGAGAAGCAGACATGATCTGGTGTGCTATACTTGTACACAGCACGTTATAGAGAAGAGGGCAAAGGGAAGAAGGAAGCTGTACAAAAATTGTGGTGGGAAGTGGCCATACTCCAGGCTGTGTGGGTCCAGACACTCACGCTGTCACACTGGCACATACTTGTAATGGTACCTGATTTTCTGTTATCTGTTCCTGCTCTGCGCTAGGAAACTTAGAGCTGCTTGATCAAACTGATCCAGAAGTGGGGCAGACCCAATTACAGTTAACTTCAGTAACGTTTTGTAGTGGTGTAAGTAGATTGATCTGAAATAATTTTAGCTGTGTAGGTACAATCTCCTCATGCGGACAAGCCTTAGGAGGACTTGTGCTGAAAAAATGTGCTTTCAGAAAGTAGTTTTGGATTAAGTGAATTGAAACTGATTCCATTAGGGAAAATTAAATGTCCTAATTAAAATGAAGTATTTTAGATCAAGGGGCATGTCCCACAAAGCAAATTAATTTTAAACTTTGATATGGAAATATCACTAGCTTTAATTTTAGAAATTAAACTGGAGGCTGGAAGAGTGGCTGTAAAATAAGATGCAAACAAATAAACCCATATTAAAAAAAAAAATAGTATCTTCTGAGTACACTCTGAATATTGCAATAAAATTGTAATAGGAATTCTCATAATATATAATGCATTCTTAAAGAAGCAGATGCAGCTTTGCCAGACTGTATATATTAAACTTGTTTTGCCTCTTGTGATTGCCATTTTAAATATCACTCTCGGGCGGTGGTGTTTTTTCATTGGACTTACTTCACCTTGCTAACATAACAGTTTCATGCAGATGTTTACGTTGTGCTCAGCTTTTCCTCTGGAGCCACAAAATTCTGACAAAATTTCCATGTCTGAAAGTGAGAATTGAGTCTCTTGTTGTTTACAGCCCTCAGATTAATTTGTGTGCCCAGGGAGACATTTTTGTATTATACTGACCAGGTTTAGACACTGAACGGGATGTCACTGAATGCACATAAAATGACTAGATTTATAACAAGAGGGAGTTTCACACAGCTGTAATAGTAATGCCTCTGACAGTTCCTGATCACTTCCTATTCTTCGGATGAGATACTGCTCTAAAGGAATTCTGCCTTGCAACAGGCGATGGACTAACCTGTCAGTATTGACAGGCATGGAAGTGTACTTCCAAAGTTCATGGAAGTGTGTACTGCTGAAAAGCAAATGCATCAATTGCTTTTTAAGTAAGAATAACTTCAGGTTTGGATGACTGAATGCTTCAGTTATTGAGGTTGAGATTTTCATGTTTTTATATGACACTCAATGTGTTTTTCCTATGAACCAAAGGAGAGGGAAGCTCCTACTATCACTCTTCCCTTCCTTCCTTAGATTTTCTGAATTACTGCTCTGACTTCTACTTTTTGCTTATTGCTTACGATGTTTATGTATTGAGGATTGACTTTGCCTTCTTTTCTCACATTCAGGATCACTTCATCACATAGGTATGTCATGCTCAGCTCCAGCAAAACGACATCACAAGGCTATGCTTAGCTCCATGGCAAGCTCACATGAAAAGCCTGCCTGGCAATTTTAATAGTGCTGTACCAAAGGCTGTAGTATCCAGTGTTCAAACCTGGGGGGTCTTGTGCTGGTCTTGTGCACTTGGGTAAATTTCTCTGGAGAAAAGTAAAGAAGCAAGTACAAGAAAATTCAGTTTTCTGATAGTATTAGCTGATAGTTGGTCGTAGGGCTTTCTTCTACCCTGGAATTTCATTCCCAAGTGCACATATATAAATCTTTCTTCTAGGATTATGGCAGTAATGCAGTGAAAATTAGGTGATAGCTCTCTAATCATATTAGCTCAACTAACTTTTATCACCCTGAAGTATTTTGGAGCAGTTTCTAAATGTGTGCAGGAAATTGCTTCACCCACTGCAACCTGGCATTTGCGAGAGCCAACACAACCCAGATAGCTCTGGTGAGAAAATACATTTTGGATTTATCACATCACGTTCCCTCAGGAGAGAGTCAACATGTTGTTTGATTTAATTCCAAACTACTGTGGCAGAGCCTTCTCTACCTCTAAATGCATTTCTGCCAACACTGGTCCCAGTTGCATTCAAGTCAAATACCTCCCAGGTATTGCAGCCTGGCCCCCCACTCTCACTGTGCTATTCATATTTGAGGCAGCTTAGTTGGCAGACAAGGCTGTTGGCTCAACATCTGCATCAGAGCCACCTCAAGATATTTAGGTACAAATAAACCTACAGGTTTGTAAATAGGCCATGATACAAGGTATTAACAGCTGAGTTTCTCAGAACTGTGAAACATTGTCTTCTGGTCTTCATACATTGCTCACTGAAATCTCTACCAAATCAGTTGCAGTGAGAGGCACCACTGTAGAAATAAGATAGGCCAAGCTCAAAGATCCACTGACAGTTATAAAATTTGTGAGATTAATGCCTGCCCTTTAGAAGCAATAGTTTCATTTTTCTCTGCTCGATTCTTTCTCAGGAAAGTTATTATCTGCTCTTGTACTTGTTCTTTAAATTTCCATTTTGCAAATGTTTTCTCTGCATTTTTAATAAACACACAAAAGAGAAAAAAATTATTTCTACCCCTGTGACTTCTCAGTAAATAAAAGCTGACAAGCAGTCCCAGTCTTCTGCAGAATGCAGTGAAAGTCCCTTAAGAATTTTTGACGTAAAGAGATACTATTTTTGAAGATATAAAGTCAAAACTAGTAAACTATAACTAATTAATAAGATAATAATAGCCTAAAAAGACATTCGTTGGTCATCAAATTGCAATTTACCCAACCATGAAACACACCAGATTTAGTAATGGGTACTGCCCAAGCTAGAAGCCAGGAAGGTACTATTTCCCTCTCAAGTATTTCTAGTTCTGCTAGAGGTAGTGAATATTCATCCTCAGCCAGATGGCCTCTGCTTGTGATACAATTAAAGTGCCTTAGAGGAAAAAACAAAATGTTGACTCTCATTAATGTCCAATGGCAGAGACTGTTCTGCTTCCTATGACTTCATTATGCCAGCAAAGTAGAGATGTTTCCTGCACAGCAGTGTTGTAAACTTGCCCAAATCCTTCTTTATGACCAGCTTGGTGAACAGGTTGTTATCAGATATAGAGTATTTGGTCCTTTTGGCCACGTCAGACCGGTATTTAGGAAGGCATTGTGGAAGGAAGACTGTGCATCAGATCTTGTCTCAGCTGTCATTTTCAAAGACATAGTGCCACATAAGTGATTATTGACTGACAAAGTGAAAATGAGTAGAATTAGTGACCCTGCCAGCCTATAAAAGCAAAGGGAAGGGCTTCAGGAACACAGGCTAGAAATCAGCCAATATAAACCAGTTAATTTCTTTCATCTGTCAAAATAGGCTTAACTTTAGTGTAATTTTCCAATAACATTTTTAAAGAATTGCTTCCAGTTTATAAGTGCTGCTAGAAAACAAGATCTAAAACCTCTGGATTCATCATTCATGCCAGAGGACATAGTCATGCAGGCCTTATTGCAGTGTTTCTTATTCAAACTGTCCCTTTGGCACTGTGAATGTAGAAAATTCATTTCATCCTTCCCCCACCCTGAGGTGTCAGGAGACAAACACATCACCACACAGTAACGCCAGCTGTGGAGAATGAGAATAATTAAATTCTACAGCTGAAAGCAGCAATTCATCAGCATCAACATCTTCTGTCCATGTGACTGTGTGGTCCTCATGTAAAGCTATTCTGGAATTTTCTCACAAAATGAAAACTTCTTGCAGAAATGTCTCGTTTGTGGTTAATTTTTACAAAAGGCTTTTCTGATCAAAAGTAGGATTCTGGTCAAAATCAGACAGAACGAAACAGCCTTACTTATTCTATTCTATAACTAGAGTTACTACTCTAGTCTTTAAACAGGTCTCATTTTTGTACACATTGGGACAGGGGTTTACGCTTTAGAGCCATGAGCCTTCTTTTATTCTATGAAATAAAGATTTAACTTTTCTTACAGCTGTAGAATGGTTCTAGGGAGAAGGATGGAGGGACTCACCTGAGAAGTCTAATGAGCAACCCACCTTTGAGCTCGCAGATACTGGTGATATTTATTGCATGTGAATCCCTGGACTTGGGTAGACATCCAGGTCCTCCTGCCTGTTACGGGGCCTGCGGATACAGTTTGGCTGCTTTATTTGTCCTAACTGCTGAGCAAGAGGGCTTTGGAGCACAGAGTCTTTTGTGTCAGTCCTAGTTAGGATCAGACTCCTCTAAAGCAGGCTGACTCTCAGCGCACACCTAAATAGCATTGGACCCTGATCTCCACTGAACCCATTGTTCCCCTGTGTCTCAAGGTAGCGTTATTTTTTTGCATGTTTTCTCAGGTCTAAGTAGTCAAAACATTTATTCTGAGGCACATTGAGAATTGTTGGAGAATGTTTAGATGGCAAGAAAATGAAGGATTTGTGTTGCATACATTGGTGTGTGGCACAGAAAAGGGTAAGGATGCTGTATGGGACAGCACAAAATGGGTGGGAATGCAATGTGTTGGAGTACATCAGAGGGGTGTAAAGGCTGTTGAAGTTCTTGTTTGTAACTCATTTGGAGCAGTTACTGGCATGATCTATCCCCAAACCACACCCAGGCTTCCTCTTGGAGAGTGCTAGTTGGAAC